TACTATTTCATATTGTTTTACAACACATGGTTTTAGCCCTCTGGTGGGAAAGACTTTAAAACAAAACTTACAACAGTTACTTTTCTCAACAACTGAAATTTAGAATAGTGTGATTAAGAAAAATATGTGAACTGTTTGCAATTTCAAAATAATATTGAAATGTACAGGTTTAGAATTTTCTACAGTGAAAAGTTTTCGGAACTTCAGTAGTCAAAAAAGTATACAAAAACTAGACGTTAAGAACGTATCCAATGAGCGAGCAAAGCAAGCATTGGATTGCGCAGCAATCCGAAATGAACTGTGAAAGCAGTTCCGGGGGTTGGTGAGCGCCAGCGAGCAGGGGGCGAAGCCTCCTAGTATAATTATATTTCTATAAAACATTGGAAAATTTCAACGGAACATCGGTCGAAACTTTATAAAATTGCAATGAACCTGATATGAGCAAAATTAATATTCCCAATAAAAGGCGTTTTGAATCGAAACAAAAATTAATGGAGTAAGCACAGAAAGAAAAGGAAAAAAAAACAAGTAACTTCTTCGTTAAGCTTGAATATCCTCAGATTTAGGCGCAACGAATTCTTTAATAGCAGTTAGATACTGTCTAAATCTATCATGAATTGAATCTGTGTACCTACATCGCCACATAAATTCGGCGAAATACGAATCGAAAATGGCGTCTGTGGTACCAGACTGGGGATAAAATTTTTTCTAAAGTCCTTTTTTATGACTGCCCACATACCTTCGATCTTATTGACCAGAGGCAAAAGTAACTTTAGCAGCCGCTATCCAACGTAGAACTAACGGACCTCTGAAATTACATATACCGTTGCACATTTAAAAATATCGCTAAAATTTAAACCAATCAGAATCACTCTCGGGTTTCAACATCGCCCAGCTTGGCGATCAACAGCGATCACAACTTGGCGAGAATCAAGGGGTACCCTCAGGGCTGAAAGCCTATATATAGCTAGACGGAAAAGAGCAAAAACTGGTACGAAAGGCATTTCATTGTAGCATTTTTTTCAAGAAACATTACATTTCTGTAACTACCGTAATTTTTATACAATTTTAGCATATATAAAAAACAGCTTCTTTCATTACAGAAAAGAAGATATGGCCGAATAATTGAAATAAAGAGTAGTTTAACTCCTCCCGAAAACATGTTAAAACAGAAATGGGTTTACTACCAGCTTTTCCTCTTTTCCGTCTCGCTTTCACCCATAGGCACCCTCAAATATAGTCTACCCAAGTTTGGCTCTGCCACGCGGGATACGGACATTAATCTCCGTCTAATGCCCTATAGTAATGTGCTAAATAATATTGCTTCCTCACTTTACATAAGTTTATAATACTGTTTGCAATAAAATTGCTTTATATAAGTTTACAATGCTGGTATTAAGGACCTCTGACATTTTTCAATCCTATCATATTCTCTTTATGTGATGTTGGTGCAGAAAAACTGCCGGCTAATCTCCAAGAAAACTTTAATTTTGTTCGCGCAGCAAACAAAAATGTAAATGTGTAGCAATTATCGGGGGTTGGCGAGCGGCAGAGAGCGGAGCCCCTCTAGTATATATGTTACTGTTAAAGTATGAAATCCGTTATTTTATAGAATACCTAGTTATTCCAAGAAATAACTGATCGTGTCCGTTAAAGTGTAAAACTCTCTTGTATTTCACGGTTTAACTATTTACTTCATAGAATAACGATCTGCAGCCCGTTAAAGTGTAAAATAATCTATATCATAATCATATATCTCGCACGACAAATACATTTACCTTCTACCCCTACTGCATTTATGAACTATTCAACAAAAAATGTTTTTGTTTTAGAAATAATGTTCTTTGTAACTCCAAGTGTCATTTTAGTAATCCTTGTTGTAACAAATGATTTTCTGGCACGTCTCCATAAATACCATTTATACGCTGCATAAATTAGATAAATTGTTTATTTTACACTTAAACTGTCTCTCATTAGTTTATTTATAGAATACCTAGTTATTTCATAGAATAACTAGTTAAAGTGTCAAATTAATAACATATTACACACTTTAACGGACACGATCAGTTATTTCATGGAATAACTAGGTATTCTATGAAATAACTGCATTATATACTTTAACGGTAACATATATATATTTTTTTCTGGAGTGAAAACACATGGATATTTTAATCTCCTCGGAAACAAGCTAGAATGAAATGAACCAGTTTTTGCTCCTCTTGATGTGCCCTGCAGAGCCTGGTAATAGGTCAGCTCTTGGAAATGAATTAATTTATACAGATTGTGTTAGTTACCTCCGTTGCCAGTGATGCAGGCGAATATAACCCAGGCCACTCCCACAACAAATACGGTCCTATGAACTGATGCGTAGAGTATGGCCGCATAACGAGACGACTCGTCACCAGTGGAGAAACGATGACATCCGAGAAGAGCCGACACACTCAGAATGACACTCGAACACCAGCCGATGATTACAATCCACTGAAAGTTATAACATTGTTTTTCTCAATATATTTTACTAAGGGAAGATTTCCGTATCAAGGGGTTAAAAAAGGTTTTAAAAATATTTGCAGGTTGTAGTCAACCCGGATGACGGCTACCCTTCGAGTGGGCCCCTTTTGATTCTTTTTTTCAAAGTGTCTCACGAGCCCGGAAGTCGACGTAATTTGGCAATTATGTTGGAACAGTTACCGAGACGGAAATCTTCCCTTTACAAATAATATTTGTAAAGAACGGGGTTAACTTTTTGTGCTATACTTTAGACTTAACACTGACAGAACTCATAACTATTCAGTTTCAGCAAAATAAACCTTAATAATAAAACACTTTTGATAAAAGGAGCTTCCATTTAAACCCACGTTATGAACTTTCATTCATACACCAAAAATCAAATAATAACATTTACATTTCTGCTTTTTAAATGTTTTCAAAATGACTAAAAATTCTAAGCCTGTACTTCATTACATTAAAATTTTAGTACTTTTAATTTCGCTTCCTTTTCAGAGAAAAAGTAGACGTTTTTGTAACGAAAGTTTCTTAAGAAATCGTTACTCTTTCCTGAATTTTTTTAAAACTTTTTGATTTAAGCATTTTTTTAAATTTTATAAATTTAATGTGTTATAGATTACTTTAAAAGATACTCTCTTTTTCATGAAATATATTTTGAGATTTCAGAAAAGGAAGCATTAAAAAAGGACTTGTCGGCTGAATTTCGGAACACCCTATTGCATAAAAAATTGTGCTCTTCCAAATGAATCTGGAAAATTTCGAGGTTACCTTTTTTATTTTCTCTTTTCTATATTTATGTATAGAGTAGCCAAGAATCATTCCAACGCAGTAGGGACTCAAATGTGTCAATGTTAATATATGAACTTCATCCAAAACTTTATAAACTTTTCTGAAAAATGAAATATTTTAATTCAAAATAACATATAGTGAATGAAAAATAGATTTAAAAACTAATTAATTTGCAGTAGCTGATATTAAACCATTTCTCCAAAAAATTAAGTGATGTGCGACCAAAGATTTAGCTGTAAAAATATTCGACTCATATGCACAACCCACACCTTTAATCCTGACAATTGTAAACATACGTGTTAAAAAGTAACAAGTCACGTTTTTGTAGTTTAGAGACAGATATTTCAGTCACAGATATTGCTGAAATTTTTACTTTTTATGACAGTTATGTCATATCTCGGCTTCAACCAACTTTTCAGACATGATACAGGATTGATAAATTACCAGTCTTCTATATTTTGCTGATAAGTATCACCCCTGATGATAGTTATTTTTCGATAATCGAGATAAAACCTGCGATGTCAGAACAGTTGAGCGGCTTTTTACTTTTGGGAACCTAACATAGAACCTCTATACTTTTGGTTGGTACCAGCCTTAATTCCAAAAATGATTCATAAAATTTTAGAAAGGAAAATATTTACTTACAAGTAAGAAAATATAAATTTAGGCGAAGAATTTTGACAGATTAGATCGCAATTACAAAATAAACATCTTCCCACAATCACATATCACAATATCATATCACGTTTCTTACGAAAACGCCACTCTCTTTTTAATTTCTACTACAAGTTATCCGTTTACCTCTCGTTCCCTAATTTCTCGAGATTTTAACATTTCGTTCACTCATTCTACGAGATTTTCACCTCTCGTTCCCTCATTCTACGAGATTTTAACCTCTCGTTCCCTCATTCTACGAGATTTTAACCTCTCGTTCCTTCATTCCTCGAGATTTTTACATTTCGTTCTCTCATTACTCGTGATTTTAACATCTCGTTCTCTCAATTTTCGAGATTTTCACCTCTCGCTCCCTCCTTCCTGGAGACTTTTACCTCTCGTTCGACCATTCATTGAGATTTCGTCCATTACTTTCGCTCCATATCTAACCAGCAGGAACGAGATCCTTTGCTCAGTTAGATCGTCGATAGGAATCCTTACAAATCCATTGAACTTGATGTAAAGGAAAACTTTATTGAAGCAAAAAGGAATTTAGGAATTAAAGATCTCATAACAGCATTTGGTTGCACTGATGAAGGTTGCCTTTTGAGCATCCGAAACAGCTGTCTGCATTTATAAATATTTTTCGTGCTCTTAAACGTTGTTTACCTTAGTTAGCATTTGATTGCTATGAAAAATGTTTTGAATTACAGCCTTATATTGAGGGAAAAAAGCTATTTTCTGGAATTTTCAGGAGCTATTTTAGATGTACGATCTTGATAAAAGCGAGAGATATAGATCTTCATCATCAACTCAATTCAGTTGTTCGATCTCGTTCTGTTTCAAAAATCTTTTTCGTATTTCGTCCTCTCGCTTGGCCAATCTCTTTCTTTCTTGACAACCCCAGCCTTAAATATGGTCATTGCCTCCTATAACTGGAAGACTTCTTCAGGTCAGTCCAATCTGACCATTTTGAAAGTAAACCATTTAGCACAATTTAAAAAAAAAACATCCTGTGAAAAGAATGGGGTAGCAAAGTCTTGAAATCTGTTTAATAAAGAAATATAGTTGGTTCACTTTTTAAATAATCTGCGCAGACTGCTTATAAAATATCACTTTTGACGTGATAGGCGAGGATATTACTCACTCTTTACTTTAAACTTAGTAGACGACAAAAAAGTGTCTTTATTAGTAATCGACAATAAAATTGCAGCAAACTAGCGTTCAGTGGCACTTTTAAGAAAAAAACCTCCCATCGAACGAATGCTCGGGACCGTAAAGGGTTCATTATTCATAGCAAGAATCAAATGGAAGACATGCAAAATAATAGCCCTTCATTAAGATTTTTTTTCTGCAATGGACAGGATACATCGCAGCAGAATTTTGCGCAAGATAAATAAATACAATAAGCACCAAAAAAGTGTAGAAAAATCACCCAACATAAAGCGGATGTAATAACTTACTCATCGTCTGCTGTAGATAGCTGAGCTGTGGGAGTGAGGTTGAAACGGATTGTTTGGATTCCAACTGTAATACAGGATAGCACTATGCCCATGAATAAAGCCGACATACCAATTTTTACATGCCTAGAACATATCAACTCAAGTTTACGCTTATNATTAATATTATATTATGTTTTTTTTTAATTCTGAAGAGAAACACCATAAATGGCCTTTTATTCATTTTTAAATTAGTGTCGGAGTTATTCTATTTTAAAGTTTTGGAATTTTTTTTACTATCCCGAAAGGTTAACAAAAACTAAGTATTTTTTTCTCTCCAGTGGTTTGGACAGTACCGAAGCGAAATATTTTTTTTTGATTAAAAAAAACTTTTTTTTTAATTATTTAGATTCTCCGACTTTATATTTGTTATCACTTGAGTGACGTCACGTTAGGCTATCATTTCCTGCTCTTGCCTTTAATCAATCAAAAGGAACCTATTTTCTAGCAAAACTTTGTTCAAATAATTTTTTTCTTATATTGAGATTGATTGGTAAAAAGAAATTCCTTTAGTTTATTAGAAATTCATTATTTGAAATTGAGATCCTTTTTTTCTGATGGGAAGGTGGGTGGGGTTATCAAAACTTTGTCTTCTCTAAAGAATCAGCCATGAACTTCTGTTCTTACAACTAACCGGATTTGTAAGTTCTGTGAATCGAGTGAACTCGATGAGAAATGTTCGAATGAACGAACACATAACGTACAAGATGGAATAGTTCCCCGTGTTGACTTTTCTGGACCCCACTCTAACCTATACTATTGCCCCCCGTGAAGTATTTTCCACATAATGTGTCCTTCATTGGTTCTTAAGTTATTGGCAAAAAATGAAATGTGGGTAAATAATTGCCCATCGTCATTCAAAAATTAATAAAGTTGGGGGTAAGTATACATACAACGGCCATCATAAAAAGTTTTTTAATTGGTAGGGATTTATTTTTAAACTTTTGCGATTTGAATCTTTATACTTTCATGCATTTAAAATTTAATTTCAGATTAAATATGATATGAATATGAAGATCTGGTAACCCCTCCCAGTCTTAATAATATTTATTGTTAGTGTGTTGGATTTTTGTTTAAAGTTTACTGACACATTACAATGAAACAAAACAGATAGCTATTGTATTTACAGAATTTCATTCTGGTCTAGATTAGAAAAAAGAAAAAGAAATGAAAGTTACCTTATGACTACGATAAGAAGAAAAAGAGAGAAAATGTGAAGTTGAAAATCTGCAGCCAAGTACCACGTGACCCCTGTGCACTGAAAGATAATATGACTCAGATAAAGTAATTTAAAGTTTTGCAAATCATTTCTTTTAATAAAAGAACTAGTTAGAGGCGTGGTGGCTCAGGTGATAGAGAGTTCGCTTTCCAATGAGGTGAACCGGGTTCGAATTCCAGCGATGGTGGGTCGATACGAATTCCCCTTCCGGGTTGCACCGACCACAGTGCTGACGTGAAATAGTGGTAGACGAATTATGGGTTAGAGTCCCCTTGCTGTCAGGCTAACCGTGGGAGGTTTTCGTGGATTTATTCTCCATGTAACGCAAATGCGGGTTGGTTCCTTTAAGAAGTCCTCCACGAAGGCAAATTTCTCCCGATACTTAATCCAGGAGTTACCTTGTCTTCTGGAATGGGTTCAAACTGACAAGGCAACTGAATTGAACATTCGAAGTCGTAAACACAAAATTGGATCGGCTGTTCAACGACGATTACAAAATAAAATAAGATAACTGGTTAACTACCCGTTCCTCGTATGGGGTGAACAAAGAAAGAAAATAATCAGTAAGTCAGCACTAAAGAACAGAACGAGGTTCACAATAATTATCTTAATAAATCATTTTTGAATTACTTTTATTACAATTCAATAGTTTTGTTACTTCCTGTGAAATATCTTTTCAAATACATCCTTCGTAAGTAGTCAAATAAGCATCAATACGGGTGAGGATCAGAAACTTTGCTGTCTCCCGAATATGGGTGACGCGGCAGTCAACGTGTTAAAGAGAGGTCGTAATTGGCCATCTACAAGTACATTCTTATATTTTATTCTATAATATATTAGAACAGAGAATAAAATTCTTATATTATATTTTCTTTTCTACACATTCTACATGTTTTAGATTTTAATTCGTTACTAATGAATTAAAACTTCTTCAGAAAGCGGAGCAGTTGGCATTCCTATGACTGAACAGTTTAAACACACGAGAATGAAATCTAAAATTAGGCAACCATAGTTTTAGTCTCATTTTATTTTTATATTTTATAATCGTCGTTGAACAGTCAACACCGTAGCTTTGTAAATTTGAACCCAATCCAGAAGATATGGGGACTCCTGGACCAAGTATTGGAAGAAATTTGCCTTCGTGGAACATTTTTGATGGAACTAACCTGCATTTGCGTTACATGGAGAGGAAAACCTTCCGACGGCAAGGGAACTCTAATCCATGATCCGTCTACCACTGAGGATATTTCAGGTAAGCACTGTGGTCGGTACAAGACCAGACCAAGTGGAATTCGCATCGACTAGCCATTGCTGAGATTCGGACCCCGGTTCATCTCATTGGAAGGCGAAGAAAAAAGTGGCGATTAACTAACAGTTTTTCAATCGCCTTTTTATGTGTTTAGTGGCCACGTGATCGGTGGTGACTGATCATTTTGATCTTTGCACTTACCCCTTTACGTATTCCCAACCAGTTGGAGACGTAGAGAAGAGTGGACCACCAGTACTCTCTGCAGGATTCCAATTGGTCATCTACCTGCTCAGACCAAAAAGGGCCCGAACTCACTAAGGGCAGGAAAAACACCAGTCCCATCATCAATAAGAGGGGCGGGGTTAATCTAAAAAGAATAAAATTTACTGAGTTTCCATGCATTTTTAGGGTGGGCAGAAAAATGAATATTTTTGATAGTCAATAAAAATTGTTCTTCGACATCCTGTATTCGGGAAAAATAATATAAAAAATAAATATTAATGTTTTTAGTTTGGTATTGACCTCTAAAATTTAAGAATTTCAATATCTTTTTAATTGAAATAAAAATATTACTAATTTTTGTTCTAATACCATAAACGTAAACATTTGAATATTCTTTTTAAGCATATTTAAAAGATAAACATTATTCTACAGTTTTTAGATAGCGTAAAAGATGCTAAGTTTCGAGAAATTAAGTCAAAATGTGATTTTTGTGTGTGGTTATTTTAAACATAGCAGTTTTTTTTCTTATTATTCCACTTTTACTCTTTGGTTGTAACGAAATTTTAACTTATCAGATATTAGAGTTAAAGGATTGCACTTCAATGGGCGAAACAACAGTACTGTGTTTCCGGAAAAAATTGGCTTGAAAATTTATACAAAAGACAACACGGGGAAGAGCCATTGAGAATGAGTCAGGAATCCGGAGAAATATATCTAGGACACATGACACCTGTAAAACGGCACTTTGCTGAAAATAGCTGAAAAAATGAATCAGTAATGGGGGAGAAAATTTTGCTGACGTGAGACAACGAGTCGCGGCTGGCTGTGATGATTCAGTTATAAATACTCCCCGAAAAAATGGGGGTAATTCGTAACGTTGTAATGAAGATCATTTGATTGTACCTTTTCAGAGAGTTTTCTTTTAGACATATTTTTCAACATTTTGAGGGTCTAACTTCGGAGTTTTCTAGAATCATTGGTAAAGCCTGAACTTGTGGTAGTTGTTGTTTATTGATGTCGACACTAGAACGACCCAATGGGCTACTGACGACCGCCTGGGAAAGATTCCTGAGTATGATCCGAAGACATGCCATCACAATTTTGATCCTCTGCAGGGGGGATGGCACCCCCGCTTCGATAGCCTGACGACTTACGCACGAATCTGAGCACATTAAGGTAGAACAGTTTAACGGGGACCCATACCACACACCCTCGGTCCCTTCGTAGACCAAGTAGTCAACCACCCGCACACTGACCGCAGCCAGTGATGCTTGACTCTGAACTGATTGTAAAAAATGACCTCTTATTATCTGTAAAATAGTTCAATTGGAAGAAGGTGAACTACCAAAAGTATTTACTATCAGAGCAGTACAGAACGGAAAATGCGACATGATCTCGCTGTTAGAAACGTGTTCTGACCGAGTTCTGTGACTGTATATTTCTAAAAATAATCCTATTAATGAGATGAAGTTTTATCTTTATATCCCCCAATATGGTTTGATATAAAAAACAAACATCCTATGACCTGCACAATTATTGAAAGTCATCTGCAAGAGTTTTGCCTGATGATATTGCAGATTCAGAGAAATACCTATTTTGGTAGCCCTGAGAACTTGTTATTGGCAATGGCAGAGGATGACCTACAAGAATGTTAGGAAATTATCCTATAAGAAATAATCAAGGCAAGAAATAACGCAGCACTTGAGAAACTGTAAGAGAATTTCTACGTTCCACATTAAAATTTGAAGCTTTAAACTATGAAGCGTTGATTGATAGGTAGAGCTGTACTCACTTTTTATCAGCCTCTGAAATGAAAACTGTTAGAAACAAGGACATATTGTCCCTTCTAGAAACTAGAAAATTGCTGAAATGAGAATTTTTAGATTTCTCATCAGGGGGCTGTTGAAAGGGCCATTTGGGAAGACGCAAGAGATGGGTTTATTAATAACCGTTTTTTATTCGCGAACACCAAAGTATAAATCTAACTTAATTGAAATATATAATAACCTAAATTCAAATGTATAAACAAAGTTATAGTGAATATATTATAACATTATAAATAATTTGTTACTGTGAATGATCGAAATGTGTAGTTGATCACTTCCAACGGTGAATGTTGACCATTACATAGTCGCTTTGGTAAATGTTCGAAATATGTACTAGGTCTAGTTCAGTAGCACTGCCCCGTATGGAATTTTGAGCTGTATACCCAACACTGATGTTTTTTTTAAGGCCTCTGCTTAGTATGCAATTAACCGGTACGCCCTTCATCGATGATTTTTTAAGGTCCAGTGCCCAGTATGCATTTAACCGGTACTTTGAATACTGATGTTTCGTCTAATCTATTCTCGACAGATATTAAAATATCAAGTAAATGTAATAATATCATCAAATACCAGATATCAATACATAATAATAAACGCGGCTGTGTGTGTGTCTGTTTGCCTGTCTGTCTGTCTGTAATCACAATATATCGCCCCAGAAGCATCGACCAGGCACGAAACTCGGCACATAATTGTGTTTTGACATAATGAAGAAGTATTTTTTTTCTTTTTCAGAAATGTGGATTAGTTTTTTAGTTATCAGTCATTTTGTAAGAAAATGTATGCTTTTTCGTCTTCAAAGAGCCATATTCAAAAAACTATTAAAAAATGCATATACTTTTCTCCACTCTTATAAATGTATGCTAATGCGAACCTTACAATTGAAATATTAATTTTCGACAACTTAAACCAATAATATACGAAGGAATTAATAATTTAATTGTAAAGTTCGCATTAGTTTACATTTATCAAAGTGGAGAAAAGTTTAACTTTTGTATTAAAAATGTGGCAACATATTCGATACGTAAATAGAACGCTTCGCTTTGATATATTTGTCGCTGTTCATAATTGTTATAATAAGTTTTTCTTCTTCTTTCCACGCTCTATTTTTTTTTCTTAAGCGAAGACGATAATTTTTGTAGCGATATAGAAATAGAAATTGATACCATAAAAAATTATATAGAAATAGAAATTGATACCATAAAAAATTATATAGAAATAGAAATTGATACCATAAAAAATTAATTCGTTTTCGTGTTCTTTTCATATATTTAGAATTTTAGTTTTTTTTCTTAAGCGTTGTAGCTATATAATATATAAAATAGGAATTTAAGACACAATTGCAGGACAGGAACGCTTTAATTGTCCACTAATCTTCAGATTTCCTGCTATGTTTTAAAAAACTTTATTTGTGAAAACCTTTAGCGTGGCGGTCAGCTGGCCACTTTAGCCGGCTAGTAACAAATATTTCAGACTTTCACCAAAGCGACTCTGTGATTGTCGACATTCTCCAGATTTCGGTCATTGACGGAAACATATACAAGTTGTAAATATGCAGCTGTCGTCCTTCATGGGTAGGGTTAATGGATTACCTTTTATCTTAATAAAATGTTCATATCGCCATAAAAGTATTTCAGAAAAGTGGAACGGATTCATAGAACTGGGGAACATTTTTTTAAAAAATTATTTTTCTGTTTCATGAGATTTTGTAACAGATCTTAGATATTTTCACATCACTGGAATCAGTTCTTCGTTACAAGCTTCATTTTTTTATGCAATTCAATTATACTCGTATATTCGTAACTACGATTTTTTTAAAAAATTCATTTGCATGAATTTTAGGTGGCCTCACTGCTCTGCTGCGTAGAGAGTACTAAGAAGTACATTTTGGCTTTTGGTGCGATTCGTTAAGGATGTACTTTTTTGTTGTCTAAAGTATTATTTTAAAAGGAGCAAAGAATTGTAGGTGTATATATTTAAACCTATACCTTCTTGTACAGTCAGACAACTCGACTAAAAATTTTGAGAAAGAAAAATGTTGATTTGGAACAAAAACCAATTTCAGATTTGAAATCCACACATCCGAATTAAATATGATCAAATAATGGGATACCTGCAAGTGACGTAGAGTGGGTATCTCGATCTTGATTGGCTATTGAAACGGGGCGTTTGCTGACGTTAGCAACTGTTCTTTCCATTCTATTTCAAGTAAGCCAAGCCCGTCAAGTATCCATTTTCTTAAGAGACAGATTCTAAATTCTTTCGCAAAGATTATTTCTCAAATATTTTAATTCTCACTATATTTTTACATAGAGACTAAACAGAAAGGTAGGCACGAAGCCATGTAGAACATATGCATCGAAGGTTGCCAGGTACACAAAACAAAAACATATCACGGTTACAATAAAATAAACAAACAAATAATAAATATAAGTTAAGTAAAAGACGAGAAATAATTATAATTCATTTCATTCAATGTACTGTAGGACGCTATATTTAATTAACTTATCGCTAATTAACATTCTAACTTATGTAGTCGAGGAGCTTCAACTTTAATGCGCCATTTTGCTGACATAAAGATTAGCTGGCGCTGACGTCACATATATGGGTATGGGACAGGGCTCGAAAAACCGCCCGTCCTCGGCGGTCAAAAATTCCCTGCGGACAACAAATTTCTCGAATTCGACGTCCGCGCGGACGGCCATTTTCCCGTTAATATTCGTGATACACTTTCAATTTTTGTTATCTTACAAGAGTCTAGCGCCTCACTTCTAAAATGACCCTCTAATCTAGAAATCCCGTACAGCAACATACATGGTGGATTGATGTTTTTTCCGTCTGGGAGTACTGCAGCAGTTGAAAGGGACTTTTCAGCAATGAACTTACAAAAAAAACACATTACGTAAGCGTTAAACGCAATTATGAACATCCACCTAAATGGAAAACCCCTTTCAGATTTCTGTGCAGAAATCTCTGTAAATCATAGGCTTGATTGTGGAACTGGCAAACGTCATATTTGATTCATTTAAAAAACGCAGTACCCTCGGATAAATTGACATTCCAAATAACTTGACCTTTGTCATTTAAATTATTTCATAAAAGAAATAAATTATTTCATAAAAGAAATACTAGGTTTTACTATTAGTTACCTAGTATTTCTTTTATTACTGTATAATGTAATCCTAGTAGCTACTAATTCATTGTGTGATTTATATAAATGTTTGTAATAAATAAGAAAAAATAATATTTTTATTTATTTAGAAGCGACGGGTTAGTTTAAAAGGAGGGCGGGTACATTGTTGAACAAGCCGTCCTCGGGGACGGGTAAAATTTCTGAGTTTTTTCGAGCCCTGGTATGGGAGGTCTTCTTCGACTTTTTGAAGTGGAAGAATTGAATTGCATAAATGCAACAAAAAAAATGTTGCCCAGTGCATTCTACTTGTATAAAAATGCTGATAAAATATTCGGATACTTTTTTGAAAGAAAACTTTAAACAAGTTGAAAACTATTCACCTAATGTATCGCCGTAAAGCCATCATTGGAATGTTTTTAAATCCACTCAACCTTTTTATAGATTTCATTCCTCCATAAGACATTAAGATTCCGCTGAAAATATGTAAACAAGGCTATTATTATTCATGGGCATTACATCGGAGTATATATAAACTATTAGGTAGAATTCTAATGTGTAATCAGAGCCAATTTATAACCGTTATTGAACAGCTGATTCAATTTTAGGTTACGACTTCTAATGGTCAACTCCGTAGCCTTGTAATTTTGAACTGAAACCAGAAGACAAAGGAACTCTGAGATCAAGAATTGGGAGAAATGTTGCCTTTGTGGAAAACTTTTTGGATGGAACTTACCCGCGTAAGTGTTACATTGAAAAGAAAACCACGAAAATCTCCCATGGTTAGCCTCACGGTAAAGGGGCTCTAACCCATGATCCGTCCACCACTGAGGATATTTTTATTTTACGTCTGCACTGTGGTGGGTGCCAGTCGAATGCGGAATTCGTATCGACCAGCTGGAACTCAAACCCGGTTCACCTCACCATAAGGTTAACGCTCTTCCCCCTCATCAATCATGGCTCAATCAGAACCAATTATCAAATTTACTCGTTGCAACTGAAATAAGAAAGCACTTAAAATTAGAGTGATGAGATGAGCCTTGGTGGCTCAGGGGATGCATCGTTCGAGTCCAAATCGGGTTCGAATCCCAGCGATGACTCGTCTATAAGAATTCTGCACCCGGATCGCTTCGACAACAGTGCTGACGTAAAATATCCAGAATGGTAGGCGGAGAATGGGTTAGAGTCCCTTTGTCGTCTCAACAACTCGCATAAACCACTGGAGTCCGATTTACTTGTTTGTGAAGCTGAAAGAAGCCAAAAGCAATTTCCGTCAGATAAATTGTAAACTGTTCATCATACACACATGCAATGTGAAGAACAAACTGCACACACAGTGTTACCTAAGCGTACATGTAAAGGAAACTAACTATACCACATTCTTCATCGTCATTAACCTTTATCTGATGGGTTTTTGGAACGTGACATTTGCTTATGTTAGCAACTCCATTCTATTTCGAGTAATCCAAGCCAGTCAGGTAATAATTCTCTTGCCTTGACGCATTCTACATTTTTACACAAAGATTTCAATTATTTATATTTCTTAAACACAAAGACAGGCATGAAGTCATGTGGAACATAAACAAACTAATTATTGCCAGGTACACAAAACAAAAAATATGTCATGGTTACAATAAAATACATAAACAGATAATAGTTCTAAGTTAAGTAAAAGACGCAAACGAGAGAAAATCTCATGTTAATAAATTCGATGAGTGAGAATTAACATTCTAACTTATGTGGAGAAACTTAGCTCAACTTTTTCACTATTTTGCTTATAAACGAACAGCTTGTGCCTTCGTCATAGGTCACATGTGTGGGTATTGTGATCTTCTTCTTGAAGTGCAAATACCCAATTAAGGTTAGCATTATGATAATCTAAATCAGTGTTTCCCAAACTTATGACTTTTGAGTACCCTTTCTAAATTTTTCGTAACGCTGTGTACCACTAATAAAAAAATGAATGCATTTTTTTTTTAAAAATATGTTTACTTTTCTTTTTTGATGCTAAGTTTTCGGTAAGAAATTATATGTTAGGGATAAAAGTTTATTTTTATAAAAATAATCGAAATAAGTAGAATTTATTAAACCTTTACTATAAAAAAATTGCGCAAAAGTTATAAATCACAACTGACTGTTGATACCACTAATTATTAACTGTTACTGTTAACTGTAACTCTGCAAAAAATAGCCAAAAGAAAAATACGCAATCGTAAATTGTCTTGGCTGTCTTTGTTTGTATTAATTGTAATAAATTTTTTTGAAATTTTCGTTTGTTGCAAGATATTTCGCATAAGAAAGTGTACCCCACTAAACTGTTCCCGTACCCCTGGGGGTATGCATACCACACTTTGGGAAACACTGATCTAAATGATCAATGTAGAGATTTTGCTTCAGTTATTTTTCCAGGAATTTTATTTTGAGCTTCTCCAGGTAGGTGATGCGTCCTTTCGAACTGAGAAGTAGAGTTTGATTTCCATTTTGGAGTTTTGAAGGAAAATTTGCAGTTTGTGACACATTCTGTTTCTGCTTTATTCATGATTGATTTCACACGATTTTTCGAATTGAATTTTCTGTTTTTATCAGACAAAGACATTTTACTCATTTGACAATAGGGATAGTTCTGTTACAACTCGGTTTTTTTGGGCGGATAATTTTAATTTCATGTTGGACAATTAGATGTTGAGATTTTTGCTACTTAATATTAAAATTCCTTAACATTCTTTGCCGACCGGACTGTATAGGGGTCAAGGAATTGGCCTTGCATCAGACAGGTTCTGGGTTCAAATCCCGGACAAGGCATGGATGTTCTTTCATTCTCTGTATTTTCTGTGGGAGCAACGTTGGCCCACCTAATCGGGTGCCCATGAAAGAATAGCCTACAAATAAGCTTCCAGTCTAGGCACCTCTTTCGTTCAATTTTTCTTGGAGTTGGGCAACATTAAAATATTGGAATTTTAAAATATAATTATATAATTATTATAATATTGGTAAGATTGGAATTTTTGGACTTCACGATAATTAAAGTGTCATCGGCATAAGTCGCAGTGATTCTGTTAACGTCCTGTCTGGATATGTAGTTGCATTTCTGTCGTCTGCAGGGCGGACTGCGCAGAAATTTTTATTAAATATTTAACATTTAATAATTCTCGAATTAATTTTAGAATGTTAAATACTTTAATTCCCTCGTACGACCAGTGCACTTCTTTTACATATCTTCGTAATTTCAAGCTTCTAAACTTCGCAATAAAGCAAAATGCAACGTAAAAGTTGAACACCCAAAACAGCGGAGGCGGCACTTTTGATTTATACAGAGAGATTTTAAGTACTTTAAAACATAGTTGCGATGCTTTTCTAAAAATGTTAATACATAAATAATAGCATCGCTCTTACCTAATCAAAAAGAATGGCTCCACAGCCATCCATCCGTTGCTGATGAATTCAAATTGCCATGACGCAAACCAGTTTTGCATCACCTTTTGGGATTCTGGGGCAGAAAAAAACAGCGAAAATGTTAAAATGAATATTTTAACATATCAAAAATTAGCAATGCTAGGAAAACAAAATTGGAAACATGCTGTATAAAGATATTGCCCAGTCATTGATTTATGTCATCAATGAGCGAAAGTTCTGTTTGTCATTGAGGAGCTATACATTTCTTATATTGCACATTACACAAACCAGTTTTGCACCACCTTTTAGAATTCTGATACAAAAAAAGTGAAAAATGACTATTTTAAAATATAAAAAATACACGCTTTAACAATGCTAGAAACAAATTGCAAACATGTTGTATAAAGCCATTGGTCAGTCATTGATTTACGTCATGAAAGTTCTTTTTGTCATAGGGGGGCCATACATTTCTTATGTATCTATATAATACATATTATCATATACATGATGATGACAAAATAAATTGATTATATATGCCACAATTTCATGATAGTATATTATATATGTTACCTTGAATGACGGAAACCAAGAGAATGTCTACATTCACCGGTGAATGTCAATAATCACATAGTCGCTTTGGTGAATGTCTGAAATATTTGTTGTTATTCCTGATTTGATATTAATTTATCCGTCGATATTATTATATTTGCTTGATATTTTAATATCTGCCTATGAATACTGATGTTTCGTCTAATCAGACGAAACATCAGTATTCATAGTACCGGTTAAATGTACACTGGGCAGTGGCACTTGACCTTATAAGAACATTGATGCAGGGAATACCGGGCAGTGGCACTGATCCTTAAAAAAAACATTGATGTAGGGCATACCGGGCAGTGGCATCACTAGAGCTGGTATATATTTCGGACTTTTACCAAAGCGACTATGTGATTGTCAACATTACGGTTTAATTTTAATAACTGTGTATAAAAAGTACTTTTGTGCTTATATATAGGTTCAAATATTTCGATACTTACTGAGTAAATCGAAGTTCAACAAAACATAGCTGTGTCCAAGTATGATCCAGCACATACTTAAAGCTCTAACTCCGTGGATACATTTCAATTCACTCGATCCACCAGATGGCGCTAGAAGACGACCCAGGTTGGAGGAAAGAGAAAATGCTTGAAATACTTTCCTCCACTGCGCTGTAAAATAAATTGCAATTTTTCTCATCTCTGTGAAAAATTTCTAAAATGGAATAAAGTTTCTACAGATATTGGGAAGAAAAAAGTTAGTATTAAATCGAAGGGAGGCTCTAAAATATTTAAAACGCCAAAAACTTTTTTTATTAAATTTTTTTAACAATTGGGTACTTCAAAAAGAAGAAGAAGGAGAGCAAAAATACCCACACATGTTATCTATGACGTCAGCTGATCGTTTATAAGCAAAACGGCATGTTTCTCCCCATAAGTTAGAATGTTCATTAATGTGAAGTTAATTAAATGCCGTATAACGCACAGGGAATTTATTGAAATATAATTCTTTCTCGTCTAAGTATTTTACTTAACTTAGAGATTCATTAATTGATTTCGTATTTTATTGTAACCGTGACGTTTTGTGGTACCTGGCAACTTCGATGCATTTCTTCATGTTCTACATGGCTTCGTGTTAAGTCTCTGCCTCAAATATATACGAGGTATGATCAAAAAGTATCCGACCTTAATTTTTATTGGTCAAACAAACACAGCTATGGGGGCGGGGCTCGATGTGTGGTTGTGAGCATGCCTAGTGCGCATGCTCATTTTTTTCTACAGCTCCAATACAAGTCAGTCGGCGTCAGGCCATTCATGATTGAACAGGTGCAAGTGAGTGTCGTCGGATTTTATTTTTTAAAAAATGTCAGAAAAAGTCGAACAGCGTTATTGCACAAAATTTTGTTTTAATCTTGGTGATTCTCAAGTGGAAACAATTCGCAAGATTAAACAAGTGTTTGGAAATGAAGCGATGGGCACCACACAGATAAAGGAGTGGTACAACCGCTTCAAAGATGGCCGCTTATCAGTTGAAAGTGAACCACGCTCAGGGAGGCCTTCAACATCGAAAAATGATGCCATCATTGATCAAGTGAGGAACCTAGTGATGCAGAACCGCCGAATCACGATCAGAGAGCTTGTAGACGAGGTGAGTATTAGTTTTGGTTCCATTCAATTAGTTTTGACTGACGATTTGGGCCTCAGGAGAGTCTCAGCAAAGTTTGTACCAAAGCTGCTAACATTTGAGCAAAAAAACCTTCGTCTGGAGATCGCACAAGACATGCTGGAAACTATGAACGGTGATCCCGACTTTATGAACACAGTGTTTACAGGTGACGAGTCATGGGTTTATGGATATGACCCAGAAACCAAGCGCCAGTCAACACAGTGGAATCCCCGAGGCCCAAAAAAGCAAGGCAAGTTCGCAGCAATGTCAAGGTCATGCTAACTGCCTTTTTTGAATTCAGTGGCTTAGTACATCACGAGTACGCACCACACGGTACTACAATCACCAAGGAGTACTACCTAGAGGTTCTACGTCGCCTTCGTGACGCAGTGAGGCGCAAGCGCCCGGATCTGTGGGCAACACGCAGTTGGAAGCTCTATCATGATAACGCTCCCGCACATTCTTCCCATTTAATTCAGAACTTCTTGACAAAACACAGCACACCAGTGGTTCGTCAACCACTCTACTCTCCTGACATGGCTCCCTGCGATTTTTGGCTTTTCCCAACGCTGAAAATGCCACTAAAAGGGGCCAGATTTCAGACCAGAGAAGACATTATGCAGAATGCGACAGACCATTTGAGAGCCATACCGAAGGAGGACTTCCAGCGATGCTTTCAACAGTGGCAGAAGCGTTGGGAGAAGTGTGTGGCAGCCCAAGGGGACTACTTTGAAGGGGATTTGTATTAAATAATTTTATTATAATAAACGTTTATTTTATGAACAAAAGTCGGATACTTTTTGATCACACCTCGTATAGAGTGGTAGTATTGAAATCTTTGTAAAAGAATCTTTCTATGAGAATATAGAATGTGTCAGAGCACTTAAGAGAATTGATGCTTGACGGGCATGGCTTACTCGAAATGGAATAGGTGAAGCAGTTGCTAACGTAAACAAATGCCACGTTTCAACAACCCATCAAGACCCACTCTACGTCAATTGAAGGTTTTCCATTCAATTGAAATAATGAACGCATCGACATTTTGAAAGTTGCGTTGCGTGGAGGGGAAAGTGAGGTAAGACTCGAAGGAGAATTAAACTGTTCGATCTACAAATTGTCAGGTTTAATCAAGATATTCATTATTTAGTAGTGTAAAATATATCATTTCTGAATAGTCATATAATAATTTTTTTTGAAACTGATTTTTTTTTCCTAGAAAAAGTCAAATCACGTGGTTTAATCCCAGTAGTGGGGTAAGACCACATGTTAACTCCATGGAAAAATTAGAGATGTTAACCTTCAGTTTAAAAATATCAAAAATACCATTTTATAAGACAGGGTTAGACTCACGTTTCTGGGAACGGGAGTCCAGCCGGCCGAAGACTCCCCGTGTAGTGAATGGTGACTGGTGCACGTTAAATGTGCTGGGTCACAAATTCCCCCATGTTCCCATAACAAATCAATGCCACCGGGGGTACTGAATGGGAGACTGATTGTTCAGTTCAAAATGACGCTCTGTGGACGAATGAATGACTCCGCCCTATAAATGGGGGTGACGTTCTTGGCTATAGATGGCGCCACTGAAAAACAAGAGCAATCACGCCCTCTCTGCCTTAATGGCCGACGACCACAACAACAATCATTTTATATACTAATTTAAGAAAATTATGCGCGTAATTTTCAGATGTAGTTATCTTTTTGCACTGCAGCTTTCGTGGGCAAGGCATTAGACTCGTATCAAGGGGAGGACCGGGTAGTACACGGGTCATACCCCGAGAGCAGAGGTTATCGAAGCAGAACAGAGCTACTATTGGACTAAATCCTTATCGAATGTTTGGGTATAGGTCTTTAGTAAAGATCTTCACGTTCTAGGAATCCCTCTAATAGCTCTAGGGGGTGACAGCAAATATGCTAATTAATGAGTGAAGACGATTTTTTAAGTTACGAAATCGGACACAAAAACGTACTTTCTCAGAAATTTTTTTTCGGACAGTTTCGCACGTATGACCTCCTAGAAATAAAGGGATAGCCGTAATCAGAGAAATAGGGTCCCAATAGTTTGGTTGAAAAACTTTTGCACACATTTATAAAATTCGCTTATCCAAAGATAATTACATGCAAAATATAACTTTTAGTGTATATTTATTTCTTTTATAATATTAGTCAAAAAAATTTTGATTTGTGAGGTGTATAATTTTTTGCATCATCTTAAAATTAATGTAATTTTATATGGGAAAATGCAAAATTTGAGCGAAATGGATTGAATAGTTTCTGAGAAATCAAATTTTGAAAAGTTGTGTTTTTAAATTTCATGCCTTACGTTTCAAATTTTTTCAACCATTATTAAATAAAATAACTATTAAATATATTTATTCAGAGTAAGAACGCTTTTGTGCTTGATTTCGTGACTTAAAATATCATCTGCACACATATTCATTTGCATATTTGAGGTGACTCTCTCGAGCCGTTAAGATTGAGACCCATAAAGTGAAAATCTGATCATTAGATCAAAAGTTATACAGGGTGGTCCGATTTTTATTTTTCACACTGTGCATTGCACATAAAATTAAACACAAACTTGTCCAGTTTGGGATTAGATAAGTTTAGAGTTTATCGTACAAAAAATTAAAATATAATTATGAAACTATCACTTTTACTAGAAAGCAATTTTAAAATGTTTTATTCCTTTGAATAAACATCAGATATCATATATGGTATAAATTTAAAATTGCCACATTTCAAGAGAGTTGTTTAAATTTACATTAATAAACTCATGTTTGTGAAAATTGCAACACCATGAAGGACTTACGCGAGTGAGCTGAAATTTTCAGGAAATGCAAAGTAGAGCATGATATGCAAATGATTAGAATTTCAGACCCGTAGCGCATGCGTATGCTGAGCAGCGCCCTCTGAACGGCGGATGGATCCGAATAAATAGACGGCTGTAGCCAAGCGAGTATGGTTATCGGTGGTTATCTGCTAGTGGTAAACGTTAGCTTAGTCATTACTTATGCCTATTCGACGAAAGAGAGCGAGATTTCAACAACTTACGGAGTTTAAACGGGGGAGAATCATCGGCCTTCGTGAAGCTGGATTATCTTATCGTGCAGTAGCCGCTCGTGTGCAGCGTAACAGCAGCACAGTGATGCGTGTTTGAAAGCAGTGGATGGACGAGTGTCGGACAACTCGGAAATCCGGGAGTGGACCCCGAAATGTCACGTCAGCTCGCGATGATAGACACCTGTTCGGCGTTGCGCTAACGGACCGTACGGCTCCCTCTAGACAACTGGCAGCACGGTGGTCAATAGCTACAGGTGTTTCATTGTGTGCTTTATCAATTCGTAGACGTCTGCTGCAGCGTGGACTGCGCGCAAGGACTCCTTTATACAGGATCCCCCTCACGCTAAACCTTCGCCGCCTGCGGCTGCAATGGGCCAACCAGCATAGGGACTGGCGTGCTGATTGGCAGCGTGTCGTGTTTTCTGACGAATCTCGCTTCAATTTGTGGTACCATGATGGCCGCATTCGTGTCAGACGCTATGCCGGTGAACGCCATCTTCCGGAGTGCGTTATCGAACGCCACAGTGGACGAACACCCGGAGTTATGGTCTGGGGTGCCATAGCATATCATGGACGATCTCAATTGCTACGAATTGTGGGTAATCTGAACAGCAACCGGTACATCAGTGAAGTTCTACAGCCCCAAGCTGTTCTCTTCCTTCAAGCCTTGCCAGGTGCTGTATTTCAACAGTACAATGCCCGCCCTCATATTGTTAGGACTGTTCAATCCTTCCTTGCATCGCGACAGGTACAACTTCTTCCTTGGCCGGCGTATTCCCCGGATATGTCACCGATTAAACATGTGTGGGATTTCGTTGGTCGGCGTCTCGCTCGTAATCCTCGCTCTGTTGCTTCTACAGACGAACTTTGGGTACACATGCAAACAGTATGGAATTCTCCTCCTCAGACAGACATTCAAAGTTTGCTTGACTCCATGCCACGTCGTGTAGTAACACTTATGGCGGAGCGTGGTGGCTACATAAAATACTGATTTTGATCTCTTGTTATTGTTTGTTTGCCTTGAAAGTTTAATCATTTATTTGTACCACTACCACTCAACTGTGTATTAAATTTTATTCAATTATGACGATTCCTTCATGGTGTTGCAATTTTCACAAACAGGAGTTTAGAAATTCATAATAACAGTATTAAAATAATTGAGATGACGTTAAATATAGGAAAAGGCACCCATTGAAACTGAGCTCACTTTAAAAAGGAAAATCTTGCGTGAAAAGTTGGCATTATGTAATTGAATCCTTTAACTTATTTATGAATTGTTTAATTTATGTAATTGAATCCTTTCTAAGGAAACTATACTTCATCATTCATTTTGAAAGTTCAAGAAAAAATAGTTTACTGCCTATAATTTGGGTATTTTCGTTATTAACTGCATCACAAATTATTTTGGGTATAGATATTACATCCATTGAAGACAAACTATTATTGAATTCAAACAGTCAGAAAGGAAAGTGGTAAAATATTTTTTTCTTCTCAGTTTTCATTTCAGGAAAGAAATTCTCACAATTAATTTTTATTGATCTGAGGTCATATTTACTTCATAGTAAGAACCGGTTCGTTTATGCAATGAATAACTAACTATTACTTTTAATTTATATTATTAATCTGGTGTCAGATTTACTTATCCTCGTGTTTTGACAAGGTTGCACAATGAGTTATGACTTTGAAAATTTTGCTTCGATTTTTTTATTTATTTTTTAAATTTAGAATTTGATTTACTTCACTATTTGAAATATTAATTTTAAGCAATAGACCGGAATAGTCTGGTGGATAGGGCATTGGGTCCATGCCCAAGAGGTCGTGAGTTCGATCCTCGCCAGCCAAAGATTCCCAATGTACAAAATGGTGACTGGTGCCCGCTAAATTTGTCGGGATCACAAAGTCCTCTAAGTTCCCATAACAAATCAATACCTCTGGGGGTACTGTATTGGAGATGGATCGTGCTCTGGTTCAGGTCAAAATTATGATCTGCAGATGGATGGATGGTGTGTGAATGCATTCTACCTGTAAAATGGGCTGCGACGTATGTTTGCAGCAGAAGTCGAATTCTTGGCAATAGAAGGCGCCACTGAAAAACAACAAGAAGCGCACTCCTGTGCCATAAAAAGTCAATGCTGACAAGTGGAATTAGACAACAACGCAACGCAATCAGCGCGATTTTAAAGTGATGCTATACGTAATCTGTTTCTACCAATGCCAATCATTGGCG